AATCTAAATAAAGTAAAGGAGAACTGATTTAAGTGACATTAATATAAAACTATTTGGATCCAACTGATGATTAAAAACTGAAATGAAGACTGAGCTGGTTGTAACATGAGGTAAGTTTCTAACTGAACAAGTTTAACATAGAAAGAAAATTAAATTTTTAGACTATCATTGTTATAATTCTAGGAAAGCATAGTGGCATCCTGGGACCTTTTTGTGGGGAGTGTTTACGTTATCTCCATGCACATGTGGGTTTTCTCTGGTTATTCTAGTTTCCTCCCACAGTCAAAAATCAGGCATGTTAGATTATTGTCCCAAGGTTTGTTAATACACTACTAGTCAAATGTTTGGACACTCCTGTTCAGTTTTTTATGTTTTGATTTTTTAACATTTGTTGTATGTTGATACTGGGGTGATCCAGTCCAGTGTTGCCAACTTAGCGACTTTGTCACTACAAAGTCGCTGTGTTTTTAGAGACAGGAGCTTTGGTGACAGTATTTTCCAAGCACTTTTTTCCTTTCCTCCTCTGTTCCTCCACAAGCAGCGAGCGTGGAGGTGATCCCCTCCCCCTTAAAGCCATCCGACTCACTGAAGCCTTGTGCAGCACCCCCAACCCTACCCCCTCCCTCAGCTGAAGTCAGCTGAGAGGATAGACCGCTGAAAATGAATCACGCATGCGCAAAGCTGTCACTGCTTCTATGTGGTTTAAAAAGCAGGATATGACATTTATTGTAATGTTTTTCTGTGAAACTGTCTCTCCTGACTGACAGATCAGTCACTTCACCTCTTCCTCCCTGTGTCTCGTGACATCGAACTGTCTGCAGATTAAATTTAAAATTCCCACAAATTTAATTTATGTGGATCTAAGCATTGAAGTCATAAAATTATTTTTATTTCATTAAGTTTAATTGCAGTTCTAAACATATTTAGCATTTTTATTCACTTTTTTCTCTTCATCATCTCTCCTATAGCTCAGATCACAATAATTGGCAAACATCCAACTATGTAAATTAAGTGATGATGTCATCTAGCAACTTTTAGGACAGCCAATAGGGACTTTTCTTGCTCAGGAGTTGGCAACACTGATCCATTCTATGAAGGAACACATAAGGTGCCATGTAGTGAACTTGGAGGTGTTGAACAAACCAGAACATGTTTTGGATTGTTCAGTGTTGGGACCTTTTGCTTTTATTTCAGCTGTGTACACTCTTGCCATTCTCGCTCAGCTTCATGAGTTTCTGTCATTAACTGGAATGGTTTTCCAACAATCTTGAAGTAGTTCCAAAGAATGCCAAGAATGTGCACAGCTGTGGTCAGAACAGGGTGTGTCCACATTGAGTGGTCTAGAATCTGGAGCATATTTAGGTTTGTTTGGTGCTTTTGGGTTTGTTACGTGGTTCCTTACATTCATAATAAATATATCTGAAATCAAAGGACTCTTCAGAACAAACTGCTGTTAAAGGGATCCTGATTAGTTGCATCATTAGGCTTTATTTAATAAACATATATTTTAACTGTAAAATAAAGACTGTAAAAATCCTGTAGGCTGTTTAGTTTTTATAATTTTAAACTAAAAGTTTAAAAATATATTACACGGACGTGGCCATTTTATTTACACACAAAGCATTCTGGGTAAATGATGACGTGGATAGGTCCTCGGTGCGAGGCTGCTAGCGAGCTATATCCACCCTGAAGGTTAATCTTGGACAATATCTGACGATCGACTCTTTTAAATGAAACCAGAGAGCGTTGACAGAGAGGAGAAGGTAGAAATGACTCAGCCTGGAACTGAAAATATAGATGGAGGACAACAGAGCTGCTTCATGGAAGAAGAACCTCAGCTTAGCCTGTTAGCTTTAGCGTTAGCCCCAATGCCATCACCATATATATGTATTAGCTCAGCGCTACACATTCTCCTCTCGTGACTGAGGTCCTTCATCCACATGACAGAGAGGGGAACACAAAAATGACTCAGCTGCAACTGAAAATATGGATGGAGGACCTCAATTTAGCTTGTTTGTTTGATGCGATAGCGCCGAGCTAATACATATAAGGCAATATAGCATCGGCGCTAGCGCGAAGGCTAACAGGCTAAGCTGAGGTTCTTCTTCCATGAGGCAGCTCTGTTGTCCTCTATCCATATTTTCAGTTCCAGGCTGAGTCATTTCTACCTTCTCCTCTCTGTCAACGCTCTCTGGTTTCATTTAAAAGAGTCGATCATCAGATATTGTCCAAGATTAACCTTCAGGGTGGATATAGCTCACTCACACCGAGGACCTATCCACGTTGTCATTTACCCAGGATGCTTTGTGTGTAAATAAAATGGCTCCGTCCATGTTACAATGTTTTTGAAAATTATAAAAACTAAACAGCCTACAGTATTTTTACAGTCTTTATTTTACAGTTAAAAACAAATATCAAATAAAGTCTAATGTTACAACTAATCAGGGATCCCTTTAAAGTAGTTTAAACCCAACAGGATTGTCTGTGGACTCTCCTCCACATTTAAACCATCACTATGAGAAGTCCACAAAAACTGAAGTCCTTCTGTTCATCAGAGGTTCTTGTGTCGCCTGTTTGGATCTCAGAACTTTATGTGCACCAAACTGATCCAGTTTTCTCCTGTTGTTGGAGCAGATTCTTGGAGAGAAGAGGGAGCTCCACCACATAACGACCTCACAGCCACAGACCTCCAGGTACCAACAACCCCGCCCTTTAATTAATCTGGTTCTGGTTCTGACTTCCGGCTTCATGTGACAGGAAAGAACAAAACTGCATTGCCCATAAGTTTCAGAGCCTGATCAGATTTTGAGCTGGAGGAACAAAGTGTTTTTCATGTATAAAAAAACAAAACAAAAAAAAAACAAAAAACTAAAACTTGTTAGAGCATTTTTTTTCTATCAGCTGTTTGTTACATGGTGAGGATGGTTTATTTGACCAAAGTTACAGAAATATTTTCAGTTTGTTGCTTCATAAAATCTGTGTCAGAACATCAGCTGTTTCTCACATTTTGGATTTTATTGGAAACAACAAAAATTTTATTGGTTCAAAACCAAAAGTTGTAAAAAAAATCTTGTAACTTCTGACGATAAAATGAAGACAAACAAGGGAGTAAAAGTTTTTCTCACATAAAAACAATTTTATAGTTAGTTGTCTTTGCCTTCTTTAAAAAGTACATTCTGTGTATTTAGGTCAGTTTAAAAAAGGCCTTAAACTGAGTTTTTTTATTTACAATTTCTGCTACTAACTACATAATATGAAATTCAAGTTTTCAGAATTAAAAAAATAATTATCACATTTTTATGCCTTTAAAATAAATACATGTTGCTGAAGCTTGGATATTTTTAAATATAAAATTTGATTTAAATTGAGTAAAGCTAATTTTTACCACAAAAAAATAATGTTTTATTAAGTTCTGGGATTTTTTTTCACAATTATGTTTCATTTAAATATTTTTGATTATTATAATTAACTAGAATCAATTTTTAAAAAGGGGAAACTTCCTTTGGGATACTCCAGTATTTTTATTGGCATTTTTATTAATTCAAATTAGCACAATGTGTTTATTTTCAGTTTACTACACCGCAGTGAGCAGTGCCACCAGTGGTGGTGGGAATCATTGGGGGCAATGGCCACTCCTAAAAAACTGGTGGACCCCCACTGCCCACGCTTGGCCAGAGAGTTCCAAGCTGTTGCTTTGTTTGGTTTTTAAAGTCCTCTGGCTATTTGATTTAATCTTATCTAATTTCATTTCATGTTTATTTATTGATTATTTGTCATTGTTTCCTTGGGCAAGACACTTCCCTCACCTTGCTTACTGATGGTGGTGAGAGGGTCCAGTGGCACCTGTACATGGCAGCCCTGCCTCTGTTAGTGTGCCCCAGAACAGCTGTGTCTACATAGTGTACCACCACCAAGCATCTCTGAGTGTCATAAAAAGTGCTATATACACTGCCTGGCCAAAAAAAAAGGTCACACATTCTACCAACTTTAGCTTTGATTACAGCTCACATTCGCTGTGGCATTGTTTTGATAAGCTTCTGCGGTGTCTCAAGATTTATTTCCATCAAGTGTTGCATTAATTTTTCACCAAGATCTTGCATTGAAGATGGTAGAGTCCGACTTTCTCCAGCACATCCCAAAGATTCTCATGGACTCTGTGGATCCAATCTATGTGTGAAAATGATGTCTCATAATCCCTGAACCACTCTTTCACAATTCCAGACCCATGAATCCTGGCATTGTCATCTTGAAATATGGCCATGCCACCCCTTTACAACAAAACTTCAGGAGTGTTCACTGTGTGCAGTCATCCGTTTAACCATTAAGAAGAAGATTAACAACAACAAATAACTCATTACTCAATGAAAATGATGTTGTGTAGCACCTGTTTATATCATTATTAACAAGCAGTGGTTTCCCTGAAGTCAGATAAAACTTTTATTTTCTTTATATTTAAGTTGCAGCATTCAATTGTAACATGAATGGGGGCTTGTCCGGGATACTAACACAGTACAGCCATAAAGATAATGTTAGATTAAATTTAAATATCTTTACTTTTTGGGGTGCTGCTTTCAGTAGTAACATGTTTGGGGCTCAGCCAAGATCCTTACAACTATCTTCTGAGACAGAAGTTCAATGAGCATTTCCTTAAAACATTTATGATGATATTTACAGGAACATTGTTTCCACTTTGACAAGCCTTTGTAGTATTCCTGTTAAAACCTTTCATCATAAATATATCCTTTTTTGTCTTTTTATAAAACTGTTTTTCTGTTGAAACTTTTATTTCTCCACAGGAACCAGCCTTTACCAGGAGAATGAATAGGACTTTCTCACCTTGATGCTTTTGACTGGAGTGGAAGGTGGCCAGTCGGTGACCGTTTATTTTTAAAGACTTCCTTTTTTTGTCGTTCTTTTTGAGGTGGCCCTGAAGTGAACTTTGACCTTCAGTCTTTATGTATTTATTGGTGTTTGTGTTTTTATTTTGATGTTTTGTTTTGGACAAAATCTTCAGTCCCTGGTTTTAACCACTGGATATTTCCATTGCTGAGAACATCTGTCTTACACTTTCCGTTGGATTTTCTCTTCAGTTTGGATTCAAGGGTTTCTGATTGTTTGCTGACAGTGGTTCCCAGCAGGGTCACCACAACTGCTGGTTTGAAATAGGTGGGATTATAACCTGCAACATTATCCAGCATGTCTTTTTTTTTCCTGGACAGCGGTGACCTGCAGTGGTTTTTTGCTGTCGGTGCCTTCACTGCTCTTGTAGCTCTTCTGGGATGTGAAGAATCTCAGAGCCCTTGATTTGAATCTGTTCTCCTGTAAACCCACACCAGATGAGACCATAAACCTCCTGCTTTCTCTTCTGCTTCATGCTCGTAAATGTTTACATTTGTGTATCAGTGGTAAATATTTGCATTTCTGAGTGGGTGCGTATGTGTAGCCTGTCATGTGTTTGTGGTTTCAGAAAGTTCGGGGTGAGTTAGTTCAAAGCATTTTGTTTAAGCAAATAAATTTATTTTGTACCTGCAAAAAAAGAACCTTTTTCATTATATTTTGTGTGCAAGAAACCATTTTTACTTCTTCAAAAGGTATGAATTAATTAGAAATTTTACTTTGTGTGCAACTGAGTTCATTTGTTCAAGAGTGAGGGGAGGATGTAGCATGAGATTGACAGATGGATCGGTGCTGCTGCCACAATATTCACCTTCTCCACATCGCCCTGTGCTTCTTCTACACCCCACTCCCACCCCACACACCATCACTGTTTTTAATGTAATTTTGTTAGAAAACTTTAAGTTACGCGCTGGCTCAAAACTGAGCTTGACTCGATAAAACAGTAAAGTAAGTTAATTTTATATCAACTCGCCGTTAAATCTGTTCTTCTTAATGAGACGCTGGATCAACTCCTGGGATGCAGCCGCTGGCTTCCTCCACGCTGGCCCACCGCTATCACCACCCCAGCTACCAGCCCTGACTGTTGGGCCAGAGTTCACAGACCCCTTCCAGGTGCCTCACAGCAAACCAAGTGACCAAATACATATTTTCCACCATAATTTGCATAATGGTCGTACAGGGTCCTATAGCCCATATCAATGGACCTGGTAGCACACCATTCCTACCATAAACAATGTTGGTGGTGAACCCCGTACCCCGCCCCCGTGACGCTGGATAAATTGCCTCGACACCATACAGAAGTCTTTTTCCATGGCCTCTCCGAACTCCTCCCATGCCAGAGGTTTTGCCTCAGCGACCACCCGAGCCGCAATCCGCTTGGACTGCCGATACCTATTGGCTGCTTCCAGAGTCCCACAGACCAAAAAGACCTGATAGGACTCCTTCAGCCTGACAGCATCCCTCACCACCAGAGAGAGAATACTACACCAACAAAAGCATCAAGTAGACAAACTCCAGCTTACGAGTGTGCACTCACCGTCAGCCCAGCACAGCGCGACAAAAACAAGCCATGCAGATCTGGTGACATGTAAACAGATTTAGTCCTGATCTTAATGCTGTCAGTTTTGTCTGTGCCTCTGTCTGTATCTAGACAGAGACGTGTCAGCCATAACTTGTCAGTGTTGGGTGCAGCCTGTAAATGTCCATGGGACCAGCTGATGGGCAGGGCCGTAAAGTGTGGGTTGGTTGGGGGGGTCCCCTGGTCCCCCTATTCTGGCACCAGTACTGAGACCACCTAAGTATTAATTTAATCATGTAACATGAACAAAGTCCTTTAAAATGATTATGCATGTGGTATCAGCTTTTCATGTTTAAGAATCATGCTTTTAACCCAAGATGTGTTTATTTCACAAGTTAATAGTTGTTTCTTTATTATTCTTTACTTACTATTATATTCTTTATTTATTTACAGGGTTGCACATAAAATTTTTGGTCTGGTTCTCAGGGGAGAACCTAGGGTTGTTGCTTGATGCTCGCTCATATTTTCCTCCACTCATTTAACACATTTATCTAGAGGGGAGTCAGGGCATCTAACGTCCTCCTGTTCTGTTTTATGACTCCTTCAGCTGCAACGTCTCAGGACATCATGTCAAATCAGTCCAACAAGTTTTTTAAATTCTTTTACTCTGCACAAATTTTGTAAACTACCTAAGTGGCCGAGGGGCTGGGTGTATGTCATATAAACATCACAAACTGAACATTTCATGGTTAAATGTCTTTTAGACTACACATGTCCTTCAGATGGACAACTCCTGTTTGGTCTTCTGGATCTTTGGCCTTGGTTAAACCAGCTTTCCACTCTCCAGACCAAGCAGCTATTCATTATCTTCTGTAACGTACTGATAAACATTAAACTTTCATATATTTTAGATTCATTACACACCAACTGAAGTAGTTCAAGCCTTTTATTGTTGTAATATTGATGATTTTGACAAAAAAGTAAAGAAAAATAAAAAATCCCTATCTCAAAAAATTA